GTTTAATCATTTTTCTCATTTTATTTTCAATTGTAATTTAATATGTTTGTGGTATATTACACCAACAACTACTAATGTAACACTATTTCTGTTGACCTGATGTTTAAAGTATAACTTTCATAATCTTTGTGCACTTGCTATTCCATTTACGTTTAATGTGCAAACTTTGGGTGAAAGTATCTATTTCAGTGACATCCTATTGCCTTCATGTTATTCAAACGTTATTGACAGAATGCCTTCAATCTAGTCGTGAAGAAAGGAACGAATCGGCATGCTTAACATAATTTCCTGTTTGTTGACTGTTGTTTGGTTTTGAATGTAGAATAACTTAAATGGTTCCATAACCACATTTGGGAGTTAATACTTATTTGTTTTAGACTTGCTGAAATAAGGCTTACTTACCACCAGGCTGGACCAAAATCCTAACATTTATCTTAAATGCAAATGTCTATTGTTAGGTTATTAGCATTTTAATATTAATATTTAACAATATTAAATTGCTTTATTTTGGAGTTATAAGAATGAGCATTGGTATGGATGACTTCTACATCATCCATTAGCATTGGTTATCCATCAATGTATTTCATTCTTAATTCCGCATTACTCCCTTTGTAACCTATGTAACATATGTAACTCCCTTTGTAACATATGTAACATATGTAACTCCCATTGTAACTTATGTAACCTATGTAACTCCCATTGTAACCTATGTAACTCCTAAGGCCATTACTTCACTATTTACTACCTCCATTATCTTCCTATTCATTGCTAGGAAGACTACTTGTAGTATAAATAGTGGTAGTCTTCATTTGGTTTTAGAGACACACAATTCATAAGAGAAAACAAAGAGTGAAAGAGTTAGTCTAAAAGAGAGTTCTTATTAGTTGAAGGGGGGGTGTTTTTTTTGTGGAGCTTTGGACTCAACTCTTGTCCAGAGTTGTTGAGTAATACTTTGTGAAGGTTGTTGTATCCTGGAGGGGACAAGTCAAAGAGGACTACTGCTGAACCGGTGAAAACATTTGCTGCAGTGGGCTTGAATCTCCTTAAAGAGAGCGAGATATCCGCGCCTCAGCCTGAAGAGATTACTTTCTTCATTTTATTTTCAATTGTAATCTTGCAATTTTATTATCTTGTAAGTTTTTTCACTAACATCTATTTCCTATCAAGTAATGAAATTTGTATATGATTGCAATACTTTGGGAAATCTAGTGAGTTATGACATCTACTCAACTTGCCACTGAACCAAAGAGAGCATGGGTTGAGATTCTTCAACTCTTTGGCATACTATAGGATAATGCTATATCTTTGCTACATTCATTTTTTTTGAAGGTGTAATACCGAGTAGTGGTGTGTTTGCAAATTTCACTCTTGTGAACAAAGGTCTACGCAGAATGCACATATGGAGATTCCTGCTTGCCTTATTCTTACTCTTGTAGTTATATCATCCTTTAAAAAAAGAAAAAAAAATTAAAGACTTAGATTCTCCCCAAAAAAATAACATTTTTTTCTTTTATGAGTTTCCATATTATTTTATCTTAATTTGATCTTTTTAAAAAAAACTTCAAAGTATTATAACAAAGAAAATGATAATAGGTAAGATAGGATCAAAAAAAAAAAAAGGTAACAAATATCAAAAAGATTTCTCTTTTTAATATTTTTCAACAACATTTATCAATGTACAATATTGATTAAAAATTTGCATATATACATTTTAAGAATTAAATTAAAAATATAATTAATGTTTCTGTATTAAATGTTTAAAATAGTTTTTGTTTATAAATATAATTTTAATATCAAAAGCACATACATGGTTACTTATTCTTTTTAGCAATTTGATTCTTAAAAGCACTTTTTAAAGAAGATTAACCAAACACAATTGATTATCAAAACACTTTTCAGATTAATTTGTCAAACACAATTTGTTTTTGTTTTTTCTAAAAAAAAAGAACTTTTCTTTTTGAAAAAATTATTTTAAAAAATGCTTCTAAAATTAAGTAGTTTTTAGCAGTAATGTCAAATAGACTTTTAAATTAGAATTAGTAATTAATGTGATTTGTTGGTTTAAAGAGTCCCAATTTGAATAAGAATGAAATGCATACTCCCTCCGTCTCAATTTCTGTTTCACTTTTCAAATTTTAAGATTCAAACAAGTTTATGTTTGATCGTAATTTTTTCCTCTATCTTTTAATTATTTTGAATTGTTGATTATTGTGACTTATAATACTTTTTACGTAATACAAAAATATATAAATTTCATCACAAAATTGAAGATCTCATGCGCAAATTTGTGGTCAAACTGAAGTTGTCTGACTCTCAAAAAATGAAAAGTGTCACATAAATTGAAACGAAAGTATTTTATTATAAGTTCACTTTATTTTTAGAGTTTTAACTAATACCATCATCCGTAGAAACTTTATTTTACACAAGCATATAGGTTTAATAGATAATAGGCTAAGAGCTAATTTCCACAATATTTTCTTAAAATTACATCCTTGATTACTTACTAGTTATTCTACAGACATTGTAGAATCGTACTTAACAAAAAAAAAATGTAGAATCATACTTAACATTAAAAAAAGTATTTTTTTGTCTCAATTTATATATTGATGTTTTGATTTTAATAGCTAAATGAGTAAACGAGTTACCTTTTATTCTAAATGTTTATGTGCATGTTAAATATTTTTAATTATTAATTATTATAAATTATATTATAATACTTTTTTCATAATTTTCAAATACATAATTATATAATCAAATTAAAAAGGAATGAGTTTCACGAAGTGAGAAGTATCAATTAAATTGAAACGTTAAAAATATTGTATAATATAATGGTGATAGTGATTGCTTAGGTTTATTTTGATGGCTGCTTTGAAGGTTGATATTGCTAATCGATTCAAGGGATCCTATAATTAAAAATTCGATGGTAAAGTAGAAATTGCCCTACATAAAAACAATATATTATTGAATCCTTCCTAATTTTGGTAAAAAAGTCACAATGCTAAAAATAAAATGGTAGAGTAAATATAAAGTCCTAGTTACCTTCTAGAACTATTGTTCTTATTTTTAATTTGAATATAAAACTATAAAAATAATTACTTATTTTTAATTTGAATATAAAACTATAGAAATAATTACTTATTTTTAACTTGAATATAAAACTATAAAAAATAATTACTTATTTTTAATTTGAATATAAAACTATAAAAATAATTACTTATTTTTAATTTGAATATAAAACTATAAAAAAATAATTACTTATTTTTAATTTGAATATAAAACTATAAAAAAAATAACTTATTTTTAATTTGAATATAAAACTATAAAAATCATTAAAACTTATCTGTATTAGGTTTAAAAGTAGTTGCTTGTGTAAAAAATAATTTCCACGAGGTTGGTATTAGCATACTCTGTATCGTTCCAATTTTATCGGATGTCGGCGAAGAAACGTTATACCCTTATTCGGATACTAATATGTTGGCTTTGAAAAGTGTTTGATATTATGAAGCCAGCCAACGCTTGAAATCACACCTTCAAGTAAGTTGTTTCTTTTTCTTTGAGTTTTGAAATTCTTAATTTTTTTTTTTAAATGTGTTGGTTAATTTTGTAGTCACAAATCACAATTTTATGATATGCTTCGATTAAAATTTATAGTATCTGAATAGATGTATGTGGAGATTTTGATACGTAGATTTAGTGGCACCCAAAATACACAAACAAGTCTCGGGGATATTTTTTTTTAATGCATCTTGCTAATGAGGGTGTCTAACATATTGGACTGATTTGGAACTAGATTGGATCAAATTGATTTTCATCAGTACCAGTCCTGCCCGTATAGAGGGGCAGGGTTGGGCTGGTTCTACAATAGATTAACCTGCACGGATCCATTTGGGGTGACGATGGATTGTGACCGGTAGACCTATATAATCGGCCCGGGCTGGTTTTGTTTGGTCGGGGTGGAATGCTTACTTTAAGTTAGCATTTTTTTACCAGTATTAATTACTTAAATTGGACCAGTCTGGTCTGTTCCTCATATGCCTAAATGAACCCGAATAAACCCAGCTTGCTTGAACTCGTCTCCCCAACCCATACCCAGGATCTATGGTTATCAAAATGAATTCAAATATAGATATTACGTCCCAAAATTTTATAGGTTAAACTCTTGATAATTTAAATTGAGTCAAATTCAAGTTTTAACTCATTTTAAAAGTGATTTTCAGTTGAGTCTCTTCAATTCAATCCGTCTTTAAAACACTTTATTTGCATTGGTGCGGTAAATTAATTGGTTAATGACCTGCCTAATAGCTAGTAGGGTTGAAATATGGATCAAAACTTGATCTGCTCAATACTTAGCTTTAAATTCTTTATTTGTTCTCTTATTTTTTAGTACCTAATAAAGTTAGGAGAAACAAACATTTCTACCTAATATATTAATTCAGTCTATAGTTTAAAACAACTACATAATATTTCACCAATTTAATTGTGTACTAGATTTTTGAATCAGATACAATACTCCTTCAAAAATTAGTATCAATTGGACTTCTGATAGATTTAACTTTTTTTCTTTTCATTAAAATTTTAGATAAAATTTCAAAGAAATATTTAATTTAAAGTTAATAAGAATATCCTATTTTTTTCTATAAAGCTACTGTTGATTCTATTCAATATTTTTGTCATGTCTGATTGTTACTGTCATCATCACAAGAGGTTGGTAAAGTTTCAAGCGTAAAAGTGATTTCACTCTAAGCTGAATTTTCTCCTTCATTTTTCTTTCTCTATGTGTTCACTCCGATTAAATTAAGCATAAATATGGAAGCTAAATACTATGTAGTTTGATTTTAAAAAAATTAATTAATAATATTACGTAGTTTGATTTACAAAAACATAATGCACTTATTCGTCAATTTTTATTTTACCTATGCGATTTATGGGCACCTTTCATGAAATATCTTGTTCCGCCACTAAAGATTTGTGTATCCTAGATACATAATCACTAATGGATATAGTATATCTGGATAAATTACACCTTAATTTGTATATGGAAAAAAAAAAGTGGTATGGAAGTCAATTTTCTAAATTGGTGTGAACCACGTAATTAGGACCTAAAATAGTGAATTTGTGTTGTTTGTCCATAAACTTATTATTTATCTTATTATGGCTATACACAATACATCAAATAAACATATATATTTAGAAAATATTTCTCAGGGATCAATTTAGGTCATATATCAAGGGAAATTTTGGGATCAAATGGATTGGATTAGGCTAATAAATGAGCGGGTCATTAACTCGAGAATCTCTGTTCTCCTTTAGCCCCAATGTGAGTTTGGTTACTCTCCTTCATTGCTTGTTATGTGGTATCTTTTCTTTTTTTTTTTGATTCGTACATTCATAATGCGTTGTTTTGTTAGATGTTAATAATCATGTAAAGTAGTATTTATAGTATAATTGTTTTTTTTTTCTATTAAGGGTATTAAGTTGTGCATACTATATAAATTGTAGATGTCTGTGTTAGCGGAAACGAGTCCCTCAGAGATGTTAGGCAAGAAGAAACTTCATCAGATGGTTGATACTAAATCTCCCTCCACAGTTAAGCGTCTAAAAGTTGATGCTACCCGCAATTTTCCTGAAAATTGTGGTCCATTTGTAGGTGAAAACGATGGAACCGGAGATAAATACCCAGAGTTTCCATCAGCTACCAAGCCTGTAAAAGTCGAGACCACAAGGAATTATCCCGAGAATTGTGGCCCTTGTGTTCTTCAAAAGAAGAATGGATGCGACACTCAAAGCTCCGCTAATGTTGACATCGGAAGTTGTTCTGAAGTTGAAATGGATGTGGTTGAGTTAGGCGACCCTTTGAGTGTTTTTGTGCCAAAAGATATGCAATTTGATTTGGATGCAACTGGTGTGTGTGAAGAAGAGGGCGGTGATTCAAGTCATTTGAATACCTCATGTCAACCTGTTACTAATGGAAATCAAGTTTTGACGACGAAAGAAGTAAATCTTATGTATGATGACTCAACTCAACTGAATGAAGTCTTGGTTAATCAGATTCTCCAAAAGACGTCAACTGATACAGGTAATACATGTGATTGGTTTATAAATGGCGATCCTATTGAAAATGGACCAGAATTACCTAGTGAAGAAACAAACAAAGGATTTCAGTACAAAGAAGTTGCTGATGATGAATCCACGAGCCGGGTAGACAATTCATCCTGCTCCCAGTCGAACTCACAAAATTCAGGTCTCAAGACTCCTAGTGCCAGTAAGAAAGGGGGAAAGGGTGAGATCGTGCAGGAAGAAGCAGTGAAGTGTCCCGAACCCCTACACAAGTGCAAGGTTATTTTTGAACATGAATCTGTGGTCAGGAAGAAGCAAATAGATATCGGAGTTTCTCCAGAAGATTTAAGGAATTCTGATGTATTCTGTGGTGCTTCGGGTAATGGATTGTTGATGGAACATGAAAATATTCAGAAAGTGAAAGAAGTCAAAGAGACTCTGAAACTTTTTGATGACGAATATACTAAACTTTTGCAAGAAGATAAAGCCAAGAAACATGAAGGACGGTCCAAAAGAAGAATCCATATAGAGGCAGCAATGAATTTGAAAAAACAGAAAAAGTGGGTAAATTGTGAGTGGACTTTTGGACATGTTCCGGGAGTTCAAATTGGGGATCAATTCAGGTTCAGGGCAGAACTTGTTGCGATCGGACTACATCACCAATTTATTAAGGGTATCAATTATGTGACTATTGGCAGAAAAAATGTTGCATCTAGTGTTGTTGATTCTAGTCGGTACGACAACGAGGCCATATCTTCTGAAACATTCATTTATGTAGGTCAAGGCGGAAATCCAATGGTATCTCTTAATGGAAGAGTGGAAGATCAAAAGCTTGAAGGGGGTAATCTTGCCTTGAAGAACTCCATGGACTTGGGATATCCGGTGAGGGTTATTTGTGGTCGACAAAGACTGAATGGTGAAAAGAGTGATACAAGATACATTTACGACGGGCTCTACACCGTGACTAAGTGTTGGGAAGAAAGAGCTTCAACTGAAAAATACATTTTCAAGTTTGAACTGAAAAGAAATCTTGGCCAACCAAAACTTAATCGTGAACTAGTGTCACGGCCAGCAAAGTTAGTCAAGGTAACTCATTCTTGTGTTAATAAGTCAACAAAATCAGTTATGCAGTCGGAGTTTGTTGTGGACTATGATGTCTCGCAAGGAAAAGAGAAGATACCGATCCGTGTTGTCAATGCAATAGATGATGAGAGACTCCCACCATTTACTTACATTACCAATATGCAATATCCAGATTGGTATTATATCTCTAGGCCTCAAGGTTGCAATTGCACAAGTGGATGCTCCGATTCGGAGCAATGCTCTTGTGCTTCTAGGAACGGAGGTGAGATTCCATTCAACACAAGAGGCTCTATAGTTAGAGCACAACCTCTTGTTTATGAGTGTGGTCCATCTTGCAAATGTCCCCCTTCTTGCAAAAATAGAGTTAGCCAACATGGACCTCGATACCATTTGGAAGTTTTCAAGACTGAATCGAGAGGATGGGGTTTGAGGTCACGAGATCATGTCTCATCCGGAAGTTTTATATGTGAATATGTCGGGGAGTTGCTTGATGAAAAGGAAGCTGAAAATAGAATAGATAATGATGAGTACTTGTTTGATATTGGCAACTATGATGAAGAAATCCCCAAAAGGAATGTTGCGCGTAATAATAACCTTAAAGTGGACTCAAATTCTTCGATGAGGAAGGATGAAGATGGCTTTACCCTTGATGCCATAAGATATGGGAATGTTGGAAGATTTATCAACCATAGTTGCTCACCAAACCTTTATGCTCAAAATGTCATGTATTACCATGGTGATAAGAAAGTACCGCACATAATGTTTTTCGCTTCTGAGAGTATTGCTCCATTAAAGGAGCTTACTTATCACTACAACTACCATATTGACCATGTTTATGATAAAAATGGTGATGTGAAGAGAAAGAATTGTAGATGTGGCTCCCGTAAGTGTGAAGGGAGAATGTACTGAAGAACTACTCATGTAAGACCATTGTTCTTGACATGATATTCGAAGCATGATTTTCGTTATCCTTGTGCAATAGTCATTTCAACATTTTAATCCCTTGTTTTTCCATTTATGCTTAATTGTGCAAACTTTGATCTCTTAAAACATTCATTATGCTTAATTTCCTACTTTTTATGACATTTGTTTGGTCTTAAAGATTAAATGGTTGTATAACCACACGAGGGAGTTTATACTTATTCGACCTCTTAGTTTTAGACCAAAATATCCTTACAAGAGACATTTATACCGCAAATATTTATTTTCCAATCAAGTAGTGAACTGTGTACACAATTGCAACATTGCAATTCATACGTTAAATATCTTCATTGAATCATGATATGATTGTTCAGTTAATGTTTTTTTCTGATTCGCTTCAGTTACTGTCATGTATATTTATGATTGTGTGAATCAATCAAGTGATTTGTTTAATCTTGTTTCTACAGTCTGCAAGCTCGAACTACTTATCAGCGGATAATTTTTTGGTGGACTAGTAGCAACAAGAATCAGCTTGTCACATGGTTGTATTAAGGATCTGAATTTTTATAATTCAGCTTAGCTCTTGTTGATTATTGAACTCCAATTTTCGGCTTATTCTATTTTGTAAAGTTTGAACAGCTATTACTTTTCAGTTCCTTATTTCATGCATCAAGCACTTGAAAAAAGAGAAAATGACAGTTCTTTTGCAAGTATTTGCTTTGCAGCTATTGTTTTCTTGCATCTCTGTATAATTTGTGTAGCTTATAATTTATTCGTTAGGTGTTGTTTGGTAGTCTTTAAATTGAATCGTTGGACTAATTTATCCCATCTCTGGGGTTGGAATAAAATAATCCGAAGTTTGAGGGATAAGGTGGGATATCTAGGATTAAGTTTGAGATGAGATTTATATTGTGTTCCGTTGACGGATAAATTTACATAGTATAATCTAATCCTATACTTAATTCTGGGATATCCATCAAGTTTCATAAAGTGGAGTATCTTTCTTAAAGGAACAAATTTATTAGCGAAAGTTTCTCCTAACCTTTCCTCTCTAAGTGATTACACACATCACGCGTCTTGTAAACAGAGTCAAGCACGTAATGCACATTTACCTGTTCCGTTCTGGCATTCTTCACCCTATTCCTTGTTCTCGGGTCCTATGGAGCCTCTATTAAAAGTCATGTTCGCCTTCTTTCTGCTTGCATTTACATAGAAAGATCATGGGGTTCACGGTTCTCCCAATATATATAATGGAGTGCAAGTTGAATTCAATCTCCAAACTCTATAGCATAAGATAGCGAGATAAAGTCGATTTTCCATTGATAGTAATTGTGAATGAGCAAACTTGTATTAACTGCCTAAGCAAACAGGTTTGTGGTAATATTGACTGCTTGTACAAAAAAAAATTAAATCAGAAAAGTGGCTACATATGTTGACCAATAGTAAAAGATGGTTTCAGTATCTGTAAGTTTTCCAGACAGAACAAATCAACAAAACTACTATTACTATAATGTTTACACTTTAATTTTAAGTTTGCTTTGACATACAAGTTCATTAGCATTCTTTTGGTATAAATCTGATTTAATTGTCACGACTCAAACCGTCATGAATGGCAATCATACTAAACAATCTGGTGGGAGAACCAAGTCTAACCCAGAACCAACCCAATACCATTTAAAAGAAAACAAATCATCATAGATTAGGTAATTAAACCATTTAGATAGCTAGAGAATTGAGTCCCCATAAATTCAATCCAAAAGCCAAAACATCTAAGAGCAGAAAATAAACCCCTAAGATCTGAAAGTCAATCATACCAAAACTCTAAAATATACAAACTGGGGATACAACTCCGAAAGCTAAACATAAACTAAAGGCGGTAGTATGTGTCCGAACAAATGGACAAGAAAGTGCGGAAGTATTCATGAAAGCCTGAAGGACAAAGCTCACCCTTGGACTTGGAATCAAGTGTCTCAGATCAGCCGCTAGAAGATCTGTCGCACTCAACAAGAAAAGAGCAACTACAGTATCGATACACAAACCACTGTATACTGATAGAATTATACGAGCAGTCCAATATATGAATGTAAGCAGTTCACTACCAAATAATGCACGATATAGAAACAATTATCAACCACACATAGACTCCCACATGTCATGAAGCAACAATACATGAACGAACCAATGCATCACATATGTCCCATATGATCTTTCACGACCAAGAGGTACCCCTAGATGTAACATGGCGTATAAACCCCGAAGGACTCCATACAAGCCACTTAGCTCTCATAACATAAGAAATATATATCATATCATCATATATTATTATAAGTGGGAAGCTTTAATGTGAGAAATTGAATTACCATTGTGCCCTTGTATTAAATTAAATTTGATCAATTATTTAAATTTAATTAGTTAATTTAAATATTAAATTGTATCTTTGAGAGTTATACATTAAGCAATATCAAATTTATCAAATTCTTTCATTACAATTTATTTATATTGATAGTGAATTAATATTAAATTGTTATAAACAATTATTATCAAGAAGACACAAAGACTCTTAATTATATTGTTCAATGAATTAAGTAGGAAACTGATAGGTCTGTTTTATTTTTTTCCTTTCATATCCGCTCATCTAAGATTTTCCTATTTAAAGCCACTTAGAAATGAAAATTAACTTACAAAACTCATATATGATCTTCTTACTAAAATATGTTAATGTCAATTATTAATATCCATTTTCTCATTTTTGGTATATCATCTCTTTCTTCCTTTTTTTTAATTTCCTTTCTGGTCATAGTTATAGATTGCAGAAGAAAAGTTGTCATCAATTTTGTAGAATTGTTAAGGGCAATAACATTATTGTTGTATTCGGATCGAAGACATTATGAATGATTGATAGATTAATTGTAAAGAATGTTGGAAAGGAAATAATATTTTTTATTACGTTGTATGAATTTTAACAAAATAATGAGTGATTATAGTGATGACTATTTATAAGTGATTTTTATATTAGTTTTAAATGTTCTTTGATTAATGTATTCTCTTCTTATTCCTTTTAAGTTAATTATGTTCTCTATTTATATAAAGAAGTTTGTGTCTAGATTATAATTAATAGATTTTACTTATTTAGATTTTAGATAATTAATATTGGCGTACAACATGTACAAATTATACTTCTTATTTTCAAATGAAATTAAAAATTGTCTTAATGATATTAGACATCTTATTATATGCCAAATTATTTGTATTTTACATAGATAATTTGAAATATTTGACAAATATCATTAACATTAGCTCCTTTAAATATCATATATTTTTAAAAGTGAAGAAAAAAAGGTGAAATTCCAAATATCAAAATAGCCCTATAAAGTACAATTACTACAATAATACCATTAATATATATTAAATTATATTATATTGCTATTGTTATTTTATTATCATATAGTAAATTTAAGATGCAAGCTAAGTAATTAGTTTCTTGCTTATGACATTTAAATCCCTTTAGTTATTACTAATTATTATTGCAAACAATTTTAATGTTACGTTCTTTATTTATGGGCTTCATAGTGATAATTGTTTGTTCACTTTACCAATTGACTTTCTATCAGGTGTTTACTTAAAATAAATTAGTAGAGATAAAAAAAAATCTTTTGTGGAGCATATCAACTGTTTTGCAAATAATGAATATGATGTGTTGAAAAGCTTATTAAAGAAGAATTTATTGAGACTTAGAATTACAGAATGCATGAAGTGAAGTTAGTTATATTATTAGTTAGTTATTCAATCTGTTAGAGTTAGTTTCAAATTCTGTTAGGATCTAGAAGTGTGTAGTGTGTGTATATATATGGCTTAAGCATTGTATTCACGTGAGATAGTTTTGCTCAACATATGAAATCTGAGATTGCTTTCTCTCTTAGCATCATTTTCATTCTTTCATTGTCCACCATTAATGGTGTTTCTCAAGCTTAAACATTAAGCTTTCACATGGTATCAGAGCCACGACGAATTGTGATCTGTTCTTGCCTTCGTGTTCTTATCTCGATCAAGTTTCAATTTACAGAATTCTTCTTCTTCAAATCGTGATT